CTCTCTCTGCTCTCCTAACCTGTGACCGAGCATTTCTATCCCTGGCACATGACCCCATTTGGAGTCTCCAAACCCTGCAGACTCCTGTGGTACACACCCGCACTGCTCCTCCCCAGAGGAAGAAGGGGGATCTCCCCAGTTCTGCTGCTTGCTGGGCCCCTGCTCAGAGAACAGTCGCCCGGTGGTGCTGTGGTTTGGGGTTTATGGTGATCTCGAGCTGAGAGCCCACTTCTGGACTTGCTGATTACAGCCAGCTTCCCTGCTCCAATGCCTGGGAACTCTGCCGCACTCAGGCACCCCGGTCTTCCTGTGACCCTGGGGATCCTGAGACCACACTGTCCCATCTAGGATTCCACCTCGCTTTGCCACCTGAGCACCTTTCAGGCAGGGATGTCCCTCACCGGAGGAGACTTCTAAAACTTCCAATTTTGTGGTCGGCTGCTCTATTACTTTCCGGTAGCCAGCTTACAGAGGCTTCCTCCCCCCATGGTTTATCTTCTCAGATATCACGTTAGATTCACTTCCTCTCACCTCCTATCTTGCAGAAAGTGGTCACTTTTCTATTTGTAGAGTTGCAGCTATTCTTTTCTTTGATCTCTGGTTGAATTTGCAGGTGTTCAGAATGATTTGATAGCTATCTAGCTGAATTCCTGGGACCAGATGAAACTAAGATCTCCTACTTCTCTGCCTTCCTGGACCCTCTCTTAATCTTTAAACTTTTATGTATCTTTATGCCATGTAAATCATTTTCTTTTCTTAAATGAACTTGAGCTATTTAGTGGGAAAGATAGCAGGTGATCCTCTGACCTTAGCTAGCATTTTAGAGTTATCTGGGATTGACAGTGGAATTGTTTCTGGTACCAATTCTAATGGTGGGGTGTGGGGGTGATTCCCCCCATACCACCAATCAATTCTTGGACACCAGCAGGGTATCATAATTCTGATACTATCTGTCTGGAGATTCTGCAGGTTAAGGGCCTCAGTCCTAGAAGACTGCACCCCATCGCCCACTTCAAATGCCAGTCACAAGCCCTGGTTGATACCTGTGCTTCTAACCTACCAGCTACAGACTGGAGGTTCCCACAGCCTCCTCCTTGGACTTCAAATGCCAGTCTGACGTAACAACCTGGACTTCTTACTGGCTGGCTGTAAATCAGAGATTCCTCTGACCCCTCTTTGGGTTTGATTTATTTGCCAGAGAAGCTCAGAGAACTCAGGGAAACATTTTATTTATTAGATCACCAGTTTATTGTAAGAGGACATAACTCAGGAACAGCTAGATGGAAGAGATGTATAGAGCAAAGTATGGGGAAAGGGCTCAGAGCCTTCATGCCCTCTTCAGGCTTCCACTCTCCTGGTATCTCCATATATTCACCAACCTTGAAACTCTCCAAACCCCTCCCTTTTGGCTTCACTACATAGACATGATTAATTAAATCTTTGGCCATTGGTGATTGACTCATCCTCCAGCCCCTCTTCCTTCTGGGAGGTCTGGGAGTGGGACTGAAAGTTCCAACCCTCTGAACACATGGTTGACAACCCTTGACAACCAACCCTCACCTTTAGGTACGGCACATAAGTCACTTCATTAACATAACAATAGACACCTTTTTCACTCTCTGCACATAGGAAATTCCAAGAGTTTTGGGACCTGTGAGCCAGGAACTGTGGAAAAAGACTAAATATATATGAGAAATATATTTTGGTTATCTGAATAATCATACATATAGATTTCTTATAAATTGCAGTGTCATACTTACCCTTTCTCTTGGTGAAACTACAGAGCCTATTGGGTTGACATAAACTCTTGGAAATCAGGAAGCCTTTACCCTTCTCCCTGGTCCTTGAGCCTAATTCGTAATATGCCAAGACTGCCATCTGGCTAGACTCTTCCTTTTAGGCTGTTTCTGTGTGAGTACAGGCCATATTCAGAGTCAGTTGGCCTCTCAGTTTTCTGCCCAGAGGATTCCTTTACAAAACTTTAAGCCTTCTGGAAGTATGGTATTTCAACCAGCATTATATTATGTGTGTGTATTTAATTCATAGTTTTGAAAGTTTATTGCATACCCACTACCTGCATAGCTTTTAGCTAGCTGCTACATAAGACATAAAAGAAGTGTAAAGTAGTTGAGATGGTGAGATGGGTTTTTTTTAAGCTTACAGTGAAAAGGAGGACATTTGTCCAAATGTTAGAAGTAAATAGAAGGCTGAATGTGCCAAGCAAGTCATTGGCTAAGTTAGAGTGGGTAAGGGGATACAGAGTAGGTGTGATCAAAGAGAGAAAGGATGCCACCCAGCTGGAAGGAATCCAGAAACTGAAATAGCATTTGTTCTAGTTCCTCAAGGGTGAATATGATGATAGAAAAAAACTGAAATAGCATTTGTTCTAGTTCCTCAAGGGTGGATATGATGATAGGAAAAACTGAGTCTCTGGGTGGATTGCAGGCAAAGGACATGAGTGAAGTTGTTAAAAGATAAACTGAGGCATATTTAAGATTTTAAGAGCTTATTTGAGCAAAAATTTATTCCAGCTGGGCAGTGACAAACTGGAAGTGGTTAGGAACTCTGCTGATAGGAACTAGGGGATAAACTTATATAGAGAAAGTGCAGAAGCGAAGAAAGGAAATTATTTGATTGGCTATAGCTTAAAGCCTAGTTGGCTCTTTGTGGTTGGTATCCCTAGCATTTTGATTTTGTCACTTTGAGGCATTTACAGGCTTTGACTCTGGTTTTGCTCATGTAGGCACCATGGCATTAGAGCCACCTCAGTCTAATGGTCTCCTTGTTAAATTAATTTAACAAGTTATAGAGCTGTAAAAATGCAGGGCAGATTTTAATTTGAATTTAGAGTAGAGTAATGAGGGGAGACTGGAGAAGATAACACTAGAATTTGCAAGTCAGATCATGTCCTTCTTTGCTTATGGTTTCTCATCTCATTTAGGGAAAAAGCCAAAGTCCCTAAAATGGCCTACAAGCTACTGCATAATCTGTTCCCTTCCCCGATTCCCACTACTTTCTTCCTCCTCCTTCTTTAGCTCTTTCCCTTGATCAGGCAGAGAGCGCCACCTCAGGGTGTTTGTTTCCTCTGCCTGAGAGCTATGTGGCTCACCCTTACTTCTTTCAGGTCACCCTTATCAGAGAGGGCTGTCCCGACTTCTGTATATCACCCCCTCTCACTCCTGTCACTCTCCATTCCCCCTACTTTGTTTTATTTTTCTCAGTACTCAGGAAGTACAAATATAGGATCACTAACATTCTATGTATGTTTGCTTGTGAATTGTTGCCTTGTGTTAAGCCATTTGAGTGCACATTCTCTGGGACTGAGGACTTACTGTTGTATCCCCAGGACCTAGGACCAGTATCTGGCACATAGCTCATATTCATATATGTATTAGATAAAAAAGAAAATCAAGAGCAGGAAAGAGAGTGAGAGGGAGGGAAGGAATTGGATATAGGTGCAACAGGAATTTGCATTCTAAGCAGGGGAGTACAAATTTAATTCATTAGAAGGCTTTGAACAGGGGAGTGAGAATGAAAATATTTACTTTAGGGAGATTAATTAGGTGATGATGTATAGGATGGATTTTTTTTAAAAATTCCATCAGTCCCTCCTTCCTGTCCCCAAGCACTATGTAACATAGCTATTTGTGCTTTAAAAAACAAAAAACAATAAAACTTTAAATTTTGAAATGTTTGACTCTCAAGAAACTGCTCAAATTGCTAAAAGCAAATTCCCTGTACTTTTCCCCCAATTTGCTGCAATGATAGTATCTTACATTACTGTAGTTCATTGTCAAATCCAGAAAAATGACCTTGGTATAATACTATTAACTCTGACTTAGGACTTAGTTGAATATTATCATACTTTACATACACTTTTGTGTGTGTATGTATAGAATTCTAAAATTTTGTCACATGTGTAGAAACATGCTTTTTAATGTTTCTACATCTTATTTTAAAGTTTTTGACCAAGTGTTAGACAATCTCCTCTTTAATAATACTCTCCAAGGGGGCGCCTGGGTGGCTCAGTCGTTAAGCTTCTGCCTTCGGCTCAGGCCATGATCCCTGGGTCCTGGGATCGAGCCCTGCATCGGGCTCCCTGCTCGGTGGGAAGCCTGCTTCTCCCTCTCCCACTCCCTCTGCTTGTGTTCCCTCTCTTGCTGTCTCTCTGTCAGATAAATAAATAAAATCTTTAAAAAAAAATAATACTCCCCAGGTTCTTGGCCTCCCACATTTACATAAAAATAAAGTGAATGGCCTGTTGTTTTATTTCTTTATTCTTCTGCTCAGGTGTTCCTTGTAGCCTTTTCTTTCTACAATAAAGATGATTTAAAAATTTTACTTCATCAGCATTGACAAACCATATTACTTATCAGGTCTTATTTTTTTTTGTTTTGTTTTAACCAGTGCATTATATTATTATATAACATTTCTTTCTTTTGGTCATTTATCTACTTAACAACTTTCAGATCATTTCTGATAGTAAAATATTTCTATAAGACTGTTTTAACAGGGTTCTAGTACCCTACCCTACTAATTAGAAGTATTCTGGTAAGCAATTTACCAAAAATTTCAGAACTGGGAAGGCTAGTGGGTGGGAATGAGATTAGCTAAATTATTTAAAGTCCTTTATTCATTCTTTTAAAAATTAAACTTCTGATGTTTTTAGATATTCTGCTTAGTAAAAGGCCACTTTATTAATTTTTATATATTGAACATATTTGTCTTTAAGTTATTTACAGACTTTCAAAAACAACATGTTAATGTTAAAATCTTATAATTTTGCAGCTGTGTTCTATATGTGCTATATATATTTATAGATGTTCTATGTGAGAGAAATATATACAAATATATATAGCACATACATACTTATATGTTGCTGATGGTTAGGGTGATAATTGATGCTCTTCAATAGGATGCTGGATTAATATGCAGGCCTGTGTGTGACTGTTGAAGAAAAACCAAGGTCTGTGTGAACATACTTGATACATTTCTTGCAGGTTCTGAGTTGTGTCCGCACAGAATGGGATCCACTGGATATTCGCTTTGGCACCAAACAGCCTTATCAGGTGTTGACAGTGGAGCGCTCCGTCAGTGTAGACAAAGAGCCCATGGCTGACAGCTGCATCTATGAATACATTCGGAACAAAATCCAGTGTATATCAGTAACCAGAATACCACTAAGATCAAAGGCCATTAGCTGCTGCAGGAATGTTACTGAAGACAAACTGATTCTGGGCTGTGAAGATTCTTCAGTAATTCTTTATGAAACTCACCGTAGAGTAACTCTCTTAGCCCAGGCTGAACTTTTGCCTTCATTAATAAGCTGCCACCCAAGTGGCGCCATTCTACTAGTTGGCAGCAACCAAGGGGAGCTTCAGATTTTTGATATGGCTTTATCCCCTATTAACATCCAGCTCCTGGCTGAAGACCGTTCACCCAGGGAGATTCTGCAGTTCAATAAATTCTTTGACATTTCCAGCAGTCTTGTTCAAATGCAGTGGATAGCTCCTTGGATGGTTACTCAGAAGCCAGAATGTGGGGACATCTATGATCTCCTCTTCCTCAGGTTTGACAGAGGACCTTTGGGTGTACTTTTGTTTAAACTTGGTAAGTCAAGGAAGTTGGTGAGTAAGTAAATTAAAATGTTTATGATGATGACGTTATGATTAAGAGAATAAAACCATTCTAGAAATGGAGGTTTTCTATGTTATTCCATAAATAGGTTTGCCTTTCAAACATTTCATATAGTTTCTTTTTTTTTTTTTCAAGTAATCTTTATGCCCAACCTGGGGCTCAGACTCACGACCCTGAGATCAAGAGTCACGTGCTCTACCAACTGAGCCAGTCAGGTGCGCTCATATAGTTTCTTTAAGAAAGCTTTGTGGGTGATTTTCTAAATGTTAAGGAACAATAGATAGTGAAGAATTTGGAAATTGCACTAATTGCCCATTGTGATGCATGAAAAGCTTAAACTTCCACATTTGATACTTTCCAAAATAAATACATATGTGAATATTTTAAAAGTACTTACTATGCCCATTAAAAAGTTCTGTGGTGGGGTACCTGGGTGGCTCATTCAGTTAAGTGGCTCAGGTCATGATCCCAGAGTCCCGGAATCGAGTCCCTGCTCAATGGGCAGCCTGCTTCTCTCTCTCTACCACTTGTGCTATCTTTTGCACTCACTCTCTCTCTCTCTCAAATAAATAAAAATCTTTAAAAAAAAGTGTTATAGGAATAAAATACTTTTTCTATTAAAAAGTTATTTTAGATAATAAGTATCCATTGCTTCCCAGATTGGAATGTGTAAGACAAGTGTTTTAAAAGAAGAAAAAGCAAATGTTTGGAGAATTTGGGCAGAGAGTTGTATAACTTTTTTTGTTTCCTTTTAGATAAAAATATTGAAAAAGATTTTCCAATATTATGAAAATCATGTATTAATATAGCCCATTTCAACCAGGAAACTTTTTTTTTTTTTAGATTTTAAAGATTTTATTTTTAAGTAATCTCTACACTCAATGTGGGGCTTGAACATACAACCTGGAGATGAAGTTTCGTATGCTCTACTGAGCCAGCAAGCGCCCCTCAACCAGGAAACTTTAAAACAAAATTGTATTAGTATGATTTGTCTTTTGCAGTTTTGCCTTCCCAGCTATGCCCTATAATATTCTTTAGGTAGTTTTGTATAACTTAACATTCTTGAGAGAACCTCACTTAAGTTTAAAAACTAGATTTTAATTAATGCCTATTATTACAACTTGAAAACATAGAGAAGTAAATATATTTTTAAAACCCATTACATGATTTGTCTCTGTGATATGAAGTTAAGTTTTTAAAGACATTGAAGTATTTGTTAAATAGCTGTCAGTTTACTTTTTTTTTGTAGTGTATCTACCTCTGAAATTGAACCCATGAAATAAATCTAATTGACAATGACTTGATTAACCTGAAAGGTATAATGGATATAACATGAGGGCTATATTCTCTCCCTGTAATAAAAATGCAGCTAAATCTATAATATTCATGTTGTCCAAGAAAAAATGTTTGGAATCTCATTCATTGTAAGATAATCCAGTTCTACTTTGCCCAGCTACATGTTTAACAGTTGTATGTCTCCATACACAACACTCATTAAAGTGGATGTTAGCTGTTTTGCATGTCTGTTAAAACACACACACACACACACACACACACATATACACACACTCACTCTCTCTCTCTCTCTCTCTCTCTCTCTCTCTCTCTCTCTAAATTACCCAGTTACCTGTCAAACAAAAGGCTGTCTGCCCACATATACCTAGCTTTTCTTCAGCCCTCCCTTGTGGGCCTATTCACAACAGCTTTGCAAAAAGCACAGCTTTCTCTTCCTATCTCTATCACATTTGCCTTCTTACTAAAGTAAACAGGCTCTCAGTGTAGGGATTTAGAGGGCTTCCTGCTAATTGCCAGCTTGTAAACTTAATTGGACTGTCTCCCTGGGCACTGTTCCTAAATCAATTAGGCAATGAGTTGGCTGTCACCTCTTTTCCCAAGAAGGTCTCTTGGAAGAGAATTATCCAATAGAAGTCAGCATTCAAATGAAAAGGTGATAACTTCTGCAACTGACATTTATCATTTAAATTTTATTTTCAATATGACTCTTAAGTTTTATGGGATAGGGGAAATTTTACAGACTTACAGACTCTTTAAAAGATCTAAATATGGAGTTTCCCAGAATTAAAAAAATGTATTGTAAGATTAATATTTATTACAGATTATTTTTTCTAGGAAGAGTCGATTCCTTGAAACAGTAGATTCCAACTAACAGATCTTTTTTTTTTTTTTTAAAGAAAACCCTGTTTAAAGAACAGATTTTTCTTAGGTTCTGCTACTAAATACATCCAAAAATTTTAATATACTTCTTGAATTAACACAGTGCTGATTCTGGGCATCCATGTGGAATTTTCATGTATAATTCAAGTTACTGCATATATAAACAGGTAGTTGCATGTGCAGTTTCTCCACTAGGGAGCATTTACGAGATTTTTTTCATAAGCTTGTTATGCAAGCCTTTGGAAAATTTGACATGCAAGGTGTAGCTTACAATTTAAGAAGCTGACATAGATCATAGTTTAAAATAGAATGCTGTCATATATAAACGTGGCAATGGGTGGTGGTGCCAATATGCTAAGATTTTTGAAGTTTGACTTTTAGAATAGGTCAGTGCAATATTGAAGGAAAACTTTGTTCCAAGGCTAGAACTTCCATTCTAAATCCTTATAATCATCACACAAATGTTTTGGGGATTAAAAGGCCATCACTACTGTTAGAAAAATTTGAAGAGCATGTCTTCCTCAGGAGGGAGCTAGAAGTATCATCCTCCCACATGGAAGCCAAGAAGTACTGTTTTATATAAAGCAAAATGTAATCAGATTTCTTTGCTTGGCAATCATTGTCCCATATTTCCACATATGTAGACTGAGAATAACTTTCAAAAGAGGAGTCCCTAATTATATTACAGAGATATTAAAGCTTTTCCATTCTCATCAGTACCTTTTTCAACTTTCACTGCTCTCTTTAAACTCACATGATCAGCTCCCTGCCCTCTCAGCAGAGTCTTACCTTTCAATTGGCACTTCTTTAAGTTTATTTGCTCACCACCTACCCAACCCCCCAACCAACCACTTATCTTGAACATAAATCTTACCATGAACATAAATCTTTCCTTCTCAATTCAGTGGAAAAGGAGCCCTTCCTCTTGTCTAAGACTAGTTCCACCACTAGTTCCGGTCTCCATCCTACTACATTCCTATGGATCCCTTTACTTTGTCATCCTCCCCACCCGCCCTGAATCTTGCTATGCCAGGAGATACAGGCCCAAGTCACACCATAAAACATCTCTCCTTAAAATTGTTTCTCCTCTGTTACTAATCAATCAAATGTTCACCTTCTTTTCATAGACTCACTGAAATAATAGTGAACACTGACTTTCTCTGCTTCTTCCCATTCATTCCTCACAGTACTAAGTTCTGACTTGGATCTTTAGTGTTCTCCGGGAACTGCTCTTGGAAAGGTCACCAGAGACTTCCTACTTGATGCATATATTTCTTTTATGTTACTTGATGACTTTTCAGCCTTTGATGCTTGCTGACCAATTCTGTCACAGAATTCTCATCATACTGCCTTCTGTGACCTGGGATACACCTTTTCATCACTTTTTTCATGCTCTTCTGCATACTCATGAATATGCTGAGGCTCCCTAAGGTTCCATTGTTAGCTCCTCCCATTTTATACAGATTGAGAATTTATTTCTAATTTTCTTTCTCCCCAAACCTGTGTCTTTTATATTCTGCATTTTGGTGGATGGTACAATTATTCAGATGGAATCCCAAGTCAGAAATCATCCTAAAATCCTCCCTCACCCCTAAGGCCATATCCAATCAGTGACCACGTCCCATCAGTTCTACCTTCTAAATACTATCAGAAACATCTCTTGTCAGCCTTGCTGTCATGACCTTCATCTTGACCTTCCCTGTTTTCAAGCAGTGATCAAGTAGTAGTTTTCTGTCTATAATCTTCTGCCTTCCAATCTTCTCATCCCACCCCACAATTAATCCCCTGAACTGTCACCAGAGTCATCTAACTGCAGATTTGGTTATGGATTCTCCAGCTTGAAATCCTTCAGTGGTTGATAAGCCCTTGTCTGCCTCTCAGGCTTCATCTCCCCAGCTGTTTTTGCAGGAGTGTAGCTCCCCATCCATGGCATGTGCTCTCACACTCTCTCCTTCCCATGGTGTTTTAAATAGTATTCCATCCACCTGGAGTGCTCTGACTAGAGCCTGCAAAGTTGGGAAAAGGTTAAATGTTCCAGTAATTATATCAAGCAAGAAATAATTAAAGCTAACCTCTTCCCTCTCATAGGATTTTGAAAATTACAGGCAAAATGTATGTGTGCATATGTGTGTCATTCTGTCTAAAAAACAAGTAGTATGATTTTTCTCTTAGTATTTTTGTAAGAAGTGTATTTTCTTCAAGAGAGTTATTTTTATCAAGCTATTGAAATATACTTTACCCAAGTGGTAATTGGGGGTAACTTACTGCTGGAAAGAAATGTCAGATAATTCATTAGATGCCTGCTCATCTTAAAATTGGATCTCATATCATTTGAAATGGACTGTTATTTGAGATAGCATTCTGCTTTCTTTCAACTGGAGTGCTGATAGATTTTTAAATCAAGTTTATTGGGGTATAATTTACATAAAATTTACCCATTCCAAATGTACAGTTTAATGAATTTTAACCAATGTGTATATTCTCATGATTACCACCACAACCAAGATATAGGACATTTCCATCACCAAAAAATTCTCTCAACCCCCTTTGCAGCCATTCCCCATCTCCCTCAAAGCTAAAGAGCACTGACCTGCTTTCTGTCATTACTGATTAGATTTGCTTTTTCTAAATTTCATAGAAAAGGACTCATAAAGTATGTATTTTTTTAATGTCCTACTACTTTTACTCAGCATTTATCTGTGAGAATCTTCCATATTAGTGTGTATATCTGTAAATTTTCCTTTACATTACTGAGTAGTATTCCATTGTATAGATAAACCACAATATTGTTCCACATG